AAATAAATGTTTTATACCAGTAGCTATGGATGTATGCGTGTGATATTTGAAGCTGAAAAATATTTCTCTTTTAGGAGTCATGTTGCACGAGTTCGATCAATACCTGTATATCTGCGAGTAGTGAACCATACGGACACGCCATTACTTTGCCACAATTCGGTCTATAAATGAGATCATCGAATTGGAATTGTACGTTCGCGGTGCAAAACGTAAGAAGTTCTACACAAACATGGACTGGTATACCTATGTAAATATTCCACAGCAATGGAAAGAAGGGGTGATTTATCCCAATAACAAAGGGGCTCTCGCGGTGATCCTGCCTACCACCGCTCTGTTACACTTCTTCCGATACTGTCGAAATTCATGGAAACTATTTTGGCAGATCTGTTGATGAAGAGAGCCTGGAGAAGCATGAACTTTTGTCTCAGCACAGATTTCGGCACAAGTGTTTGTGCACCACAAATCTACTTCTTGCACGAGATGAATGGACATAATCCGCCACTCCAGGTCAACCAGTTGATTTGGACTTCTTCAAAGCATTTGATCGAGTAAACCACCAAATTCTACTGCGCAAACTCTACAAGAGGTTTGGTTCTGGACTGGATCAAGTTTCTATGACAACCATCTCAGTTCGGGTTGGTGATTCAGTATCAGAGTCTACCACCGTTACCCGAGGGTTTCCTCAAGGATCCTCTACTGGGGCCTCATCTTTTTCTTGCATTTTAAACGACCTGCTAGATGTTTTTGGGCCTGATACACTGCAACTTGCGGACGACGCTAAGACCTGGGGAACTGTAACACATCCAGAGGATTATATAGCACTCCAACAAACGATCGATGCAGTCCACCGATGGTCAATCGTCAATCACATCGAATTCGTTTCCGAATGCAGAGTTATTTCCACTGGGCATAATAGTCGTTTCTCCTATGTTCTGGAGAACGGAATACTACCGCATGCCATTGACGTAAGGGATTTGGGAGTTATGGTACAGGAGGACGTAGGAGGTTCCACGTACTGTGCAAGAGCAGCATCCATGACTCTAAAGCAAGTCAGACTACTCAAACGTGTTTTCGGGCAGTTCCAAATAGCACTGTTCCCACGCTTATTATCAGCGTTCGTTCGGCCACACGGAGTACGCCGTTCAAGCATGAAATCCATGATTGAACCGCGACAAGAAGGCTGTAGAAAGTCCGCAAAGGCTGACAACAAAATTGGTAAAAAGTCTATATAACAAGATATATAACAAGACTGCCAATACTGGGAGTCTACTCATCCCAATACCGCCGACTTCGAGGGGATCTAATCTTGGCATATCACATACTACATTATCCCAA